CTACACATCTGGCCAGGAAGGGATATGTGTGCTCTGCTTCCAGCCACACCTTTATGTAGTTGTGATTGTGTGTGTAAAGGAGCAGATAAAATTGTTTTCTCCTTGGAGCTAAAAGCTGTTCTATGGCAGTCAATGCTAAAGTATCATCTATTTACCAGAAGTTAACTTTCACAAAAAGTGCAAGCTTATTGAAAGTTAAAGAAATCTCCTCTCCTCCCAATCAGTCTTTTCATTTGAATCTAGACAGAGTTTATCTGCAGCAAAATGTTGAATTCATTTGCTGCTCCATCACCAATATTGCTCTGTTAACATAAGCAAGTAGTCCTGGAGTGGTACTGAAGACACAGGCTGCTCTTTCGAAAGGCAGTAGGGTAGCTAAAAATAAAAATTTTTGCCTAAATGAGGTCCTTATCTGGGCAGCTGAACCTCCTTCCTTGCTGTCCATCTATTCGTGTTGTTAAAATATAGTTGCTTCAGCATGTCCCTGAAATGGAACTGTCATTTTCTGTCTTCCATTCTTCCCCATGCAGCTACAGATTTAGCATATTTTAGAGCTCTTTTGCTGTTCAGCCATTCTTATTGCACTTGTATCTCACGATCAGATGCAAAGGCCTCGGGCCAAGTCTTCATCTTGTGGATGTCAAGAAGAGCGTTGCCACTGACTCCAGAGGGATTCCCGTTTGTCTTATTACCTGCCGCAATGCAAACTCCCTACCATAGTTCAAAAAGAGAAAAATGAAAGACTACTTAATATTTTCTTCCAAGTTTAGATTAATGCCCTTTAGTTGCTTTATTCCTAGATGAGGCGGATGTGTCCCTGTCTCGTTGAGACTTACAAATCTTCATTCTAAAAGCGATGTCAGGGTGGATTATGTAAAAAATACAGGATCCCAGAGCAAAGAGAGGAGGGTCCAAAGCTCTTTTCTCCTCTTTGAGCTGTTCAAGCGGAGCCGTGCGTGATCCGAGGCGGTACTGGGGGATTCACCTGTATTTGTCCTTGCCATCACACATCAAATCTAGATATGGGCTTAACTGGGCATTAATTACCAACCTGTCTAGGGTCACTAGGCTGCAAAGGCTACTTTGCTGAAAAAACTTGGAAGTCTCTTAAGTAGCTGTTTGTTTATTTGTTTATCTTTAGGGAGGAAGCCTACTGAAAGTCAGCTGGCATTGGCTCACATTTTAAGATCTTTTTAAATTGGAAAATGCTTCTGTTTTCCAAAACATGTTTGGATTATATAATTTACTCACTGTGGCCATTTCTAAATCTAATCCCTTCCCTTAATCAGTCCCTCAGTAGTCTAATAGTTATTAAGCATCTTTTGGATGGATTAGAAATAGCTTTATTTTAAGACCTGTAATTGCGATTACAATGTATAATCCCCCCAATAGACATGTATAACCCATTTAATTCACTGTGGATTTGTTTTACGAAATTAAGGGATTAGAAATGATATTCTGAGGAATAGGGGAAAGTACATTACTTTTAAAGTTCATATTCCTTTTGACATACTGCATAAGGAAATCACTGCAGTGGCTATTTATACCTATCTTTATACAACACCTATTTTATAATAATTTGCTTGTTGCAAAATTGGAAAGAATTTTTAGTATCTCAGAGAAAGAAAAGAAGAAAGTTATCAAAATTTTGCTAAATTTGTTTATTTCAGATTTGATCAGAATGGAGAGAAGAGATACAGGCAGGTCAAAAAAAAAAGCTTAAACAGTGCAGTAACTGCTTATATCGCTTCATACTCCACATTTCTCCTCAAAATGCAATTATCTCAACTAAAATTGGGTGGAGAAGAAAAGGAAGCAACCCATAGCAGCATAGAATACTAAGCTAAATAGAATGAGGAATTCCTTGCTTGTTATGCAAAGTGGGACATTCTTTTTAAAATACATTCTAATTTATTTCCACTTGGCTTTCCAAAGAGAGCTGTGCATATCTCCAGAGGCAAATTTTGCCCTTCAGTTTGTTACTATATATCTGTAACCCCACCAAGAAGTACAGTTGGCAGTAATTCTGTTTGGCACGATACATTAAAGATAATGAATGAAAGAAAGGCAGCTCTTTGCTCCAGTATGAGTTCTTCTCAATTCAGAAGCGGAATATATTTCTAGGAAAGTTCACTGTCAGGACAGTACACTTGACTGGTTGAAAGGCTGTTTATTTGAGCTGTCTTAGAAAACTCATCTCTGAAATTAGACAGAAAGAGAATAGAAAGAAAAGAGAAGT